GAATTTGAGAGTTCGGGATTCGGACACTGCATCCGCATGGTTCAAGCAGGGCTCACGTCGCACCGCTGGGCTACTTTGCCGTCCTCTTATTTTCATCACGGAAGACACCCAAACTCGCTAATTCTGAGATCTCCCGCTGGCAGAGCCCTTATTCATCTTCTGCACGCGGTGCAACTTCGGACAGCACGTTCGCGGCTTCAAGGGAAGCGCAGCCCAAGCTCTCGGTAACCGAGAACCACTTATCAGCGACAGGGTCGCACAACCAAGAATACAGGCGCGTTGTCTACTCCCACCCACGCATCGCTCCCGCCACAGGCAATGAGTACCTCGTCGAGAATTTGGAAGAAGTCAACTACGAGTCGGATACTACTTTCCCAGGTCCTCGACACAGGGCTCATTGAGCAGAGAATTCGTGGAAAAGGTTATGGTATGTTGTGGTGTCTGAGACACGCGAATCTCGTTCGAGGCGACAATCGAATATGTTACTTAATCTTGATGGGGAGAGTATAACGGATTTTCACGTGCCCAGGTATGGAGGGTGTGGGTCGCACCAGATAGTGCGATCACACAATTGTGAGGCTTACACAAGATGATGAGACTACAAAATTGTGTGTTTACGCAATATTATGTGACCGCACCTAAAAAAGTTAGTACGTGACTGGACTGCCACTAGTTCTACATTTAATGATGAGACAGGAGAATCTATAGAATTATATATTTGCGGCTTTGCCACAAATAAAACCGAGCGATACAGTGTACATTCTAAACGGCAGGTTTATTAGCCTTGGGTTGAGGTTGTAATTACTCTAGGAGTAAGCGAATTGCGATCCGCTACACTTGTACTAGATGTAATAATAAAACGATGGTCACCGACCTTAACCAAGCTTCCTCTCAGCGAAAGGACAACGGCAGCCTCGCTGCTGTCGCCTGTTGTGGTAACGTACCTCGCTTGTTTTGATCCAGAGTTTGTCAGCCCAAGAATTCGCGGGCCAAAAACTTTTTCTCAGACATTGCTCGGAGTAAAGACTTAAAAAATATTTTTTGGATGCAAGCAACGTCTCAAACTGCTTCGCCGCCTTCTTTTTCAGGCTTTCACGGCTCAACTTCTTGGTGCGTGTTCTTCAGTAGCAATGTTCTGTATCGCTTCCGTTTCGCAAACAGAATTCGGCATGCCCTTGTTTTTGCAAGCAAAGTCATTCCATGCCGGTCTTCTGATCTGGTTCTACTAATTGAAAGCACTCAAGTTTCGGTATTGGTAAGGACGATGGGACTTTGTAAAGAAGATGCCCGAGAGACAGGTTCTAATGGAGTGCAGCGCTTACAATTTGATCAATATATGCAACAAATAGTACATAGTCACTTTGAAGGCTCTCTGTCACGCTCCTGGTTTAAAAGTATGGTCCTATCCTCTGTGTTTTAGTAAAGCTAGATCAAACAAGCTTTCTTTTTGCAAAGTGAAGGGCGAATCTCCTGCACTCAGTGGTCAACCCGACGACCGGTTCGTATTACACTGCAATTGTGTGAGGATGGAACAATTACTGTTTACTAACTTGTTCTCGGAACAACTAGAAACGCATATAAAGCTCATGTCTATCGCCGGTACCGAAATGATCAAAAGGCTGAAGGCCCAGTGCCGAGCGAACATAAACGCATACCGGGCTCACATTATGTGATATTGCGCCGGTGGGGGGATTCTAGATAGGCATTAATCCGGCGCCGTGGTGGCACAACCGTCTCCCCAATACATCCGCTATTGCCAAGCGTCCGGCCATCTAAAAGTAGGGATGGAAAAAATTCTTTTGTTAAATAACGGAAGCTGAAATAGCCATGATAGTGGCCATATAGAGACAGAGCGACAGCGCGTTACCCAAGCGGTCTTCGAGCAAAGAGGCTGCGCGCAAGAACGGACACTTGCGCTTAGTACATCTCTTAGAATCCAGTTTCACAAACAGAATTCTTAAATGTTTCCACCGCCAAGCCATGCATATAAGTGGGCTCGAAGTTCTTGTCTTCTCCCCAAAGAAAGCATAAGTTGGTAAGCGATGTTCAGGGCCAATATACTTTTAGCGCCGCTGTGATTTCAGACACTCTTTAAAGTGGGAGCAGCCATCGAAATTTTTGAGAAGGGTGTGGATTGCATCAAGATCTTCCGCGTCCACCTTACTCATATAAAAAAAGCAAGGACTTGCATTTAATAAGGAGCATAACTTTCTGTCGCGTGAGCCAGATGGGAGTTTGGGAGAAAAAGCTCTACGAACGCGTCGGAGGCGATGAGCCTCGACCATGCTGATGCGATAAAGAGAATTTTTTGGCTATCAAGCGACTCTGCGGTACTCGCAGGTGTTTCATCGACGATAGTTCAAATTGTTGTGCATTACCTGCCCTCTTCTCTTCTACTGAGAGATACGAAGGGTCAAGCTCCCACGCAAGAAAGCATTAAGAACTTCTCGCGTAAGTTGTCGATTTCCAAAAAGTCAAGTACTGGCAAAGAAGTGGATTCTATCGTGCCTCGTGGGGGTCGTGGTCAACAAATTTAACCTCAAACAATCAGTCTATCTGAAAAAGATGGGGCTTACAGCCCTCTGTTGTTGGTCGTTACAATCCGCGTCGTGACTGTCAGAAATAATTAACAGTAAGTAGAGCGATTATAGATGCAAGCATAATTGCCTAGGACTTGAGACCGTCAGAGAAATTAACATCGTGAGCACTTTCGATAATATTTTACCTTGAGTTGAAAGATTAACACGAAAGACGTTTTCAGTACATTTGAATTTAATCTGTCTGATTTATTGAAATTTTTTCAAAATAAATATGACAATGTAATCAAATATTTTTTTCAGTAACAATGCTTCACTGGGATACTGGGATAAACGTGGAAAAGTATGTTGAGCTTTCAAGTGAATTTGATGACTCTGACAGCGTGGAACACTGTTTCATCCCGCATCCGAATTCGAAATGCGATCTTATCCTTGGTACCGCGAGGCTGAGATGCCACTATTTATGGATCGAGTATAACCAGAATAGATAGAAATGCCACACACTGATCTCCCGCTGTCTATGACGAGTCGTGATTCTCTTTGCCAGGAAGAAAGTTCACCTTTAGTACAAGCACATAGCCCCAACAGCCTCCATTCAGGCATAAAATTATCCGAAGCGATAGTAACGATATTGCAATATCAGTAAACCGCAGATTCAAAATGCGGAGGAGCAATGAGAATGTATATCATGGTGGATTCATGTTAAGATGGAGAGATTAATTTTCGGTTTTGGTTAAGGGGTGTATCATTATTGGGACGGTAGAATTTAGACGTTTCACCTACCGTCTACCCCACCCCAATGTATCGTCAAGTTTCCGTCGTTGATCTCGCCGATAAATTCCATTAGTCTGCAAATCGGTTGCACAAATTGCAGCCGCCATGTATGAAAATCCAGTCGGGTCCAAACCGCGGAGAACGACAAGGATCCAGTTTGTAGTTTCTAGCGCCCGATGTTCCTCTGCAACATTTTGATTCCTTATCTTATCGACAAACTGATAAATGTTGAAGACACGAGATTTTCATTGGAACATATAATAAAATTCATAAATCTTACTTATTTGATTTTTAAATGTCAGGCACACACGACCCGAACAGCTGATATCAATCATAACCTAGCACACACCTTCCGTCAAGCCTTCAGCAAAGTCGTCTGAATAGTTGCGAGAGCGCCGAAACAGCATCTCCTCACTCGTGAATGTTTTCAAATAATGTAAAGTCTCGGTCGACTTGTCCTTGACAACTGTACTCAGTACCGAAGATTCCGTTGCAAAAGCCCACGCATTTTTTTCTGGAATATTATAATTGGGCACTGGGGAGAGCAAAACGCGTGGCGACAACGGTACATCTTCACGTTTGTTGACCTGGTGCTTGTTGAATGAACCATTTTCTTTGTCCAGCTTACCCTGCTCACCGAGCTCATCTTCTGCTTTATCACTCTCCTTAATCCCGCTCAAGTTTTTAATTTTTGCATAACTTGTCTCCCACTCGTGTCCAAGCATGTTTGTCAAAGCCTTCAGCACCTCCTCGCTCGAGCGTACACGGTGCTCTTCAAATGCAGGCAGTCGCACGACCTCATGAATGTGTCGCATCAAAAACGGCACGCAATTCTTCTTGAGATCGTCTGCGTTGCATTCTTCGGACAGCGTCAGCAGGTCAACCACATTCTCTACACAAATCTGGCCGCTCAAAAACGCTTCTGTTCGCTTCTGGAGTTCGTACACACAGTAAAATGATGAGGCTCGTAGTAATTCTTCAGCCACATCCGCTGTGATATCAACTTTGCCAGTGTACTAAGGACCAGAATTAGTCAGAGAATGTTATGAAAGCCCAGCTTGCACGATACACTCACCAAAAAGCGCAGCAATATTGAGAAAACTTCATACCGGCAGTTGTCGACTTCAATAACTGCGGTTTGATTTGTTGTCGAGCCAAACTGCATCAATGGAATCAACGCAACAGAAGGCATTGATACGACTTTTGCTTCGCATTAAAATAATGAACACAACAAACTTACTTTCACCATGTTCTTGAAGTACGAGTTGCGAAAGAAGAGGACAACCTTGTGTGCATTTATTGGCGCAATGTGCCCCTTGACAAGAAACTGGAGATCGGATAGGGACGAATTCAAAAACAATTCTTCGTGGTCATCCACAACATATGGAGGAACACTGATGGCCACATCTGGATCGTATCCTGTAGGTACCAAATGCTTTATTGCGTGCGCTGCAGCGCAACGCGAAAATTCATTTGTTGACTGGAGCATGTGGGACAGCACCGAAAGAAGTCCCTCCGGTAAAAGAGTTGTAACTTCACCAGGGTCCATCATGTGAACAAATGTCAGTAAAATGTTACCCCGAAGTTCGCCTGTGATAGTTGACAGAAAAACAACATCATTAATTTAGATATATCCAGTCAGATCCAATCACGTTTGCACAATTTTACCAATATTTTTGTCAGCAGATACACGTGCTACAGCATAAAGCATTCGCCGAAAGTCTTGCCGACAAATTTGTTTCCAGATGTTTCGAAGTGCTTGTAAGCATATTTCCCAAGTACTAAGCGTTTCCTCAACCTCAAGCATCTGCAAGACAACCCCTTCAAGCACCATCTGAAGTGTACTTGCTACGCTACACGACAAGGCACATAACGCACCAGCAGCGTGCGATGATATCAATTCATCAGAATGATGAATTGCATCCATTAACAGCAAGGTACCGCCAAATCGAGTGACGTAATCATGATTGAGTGGGTTTTCCATCAACGACTCCAATGCAATCACCGCTTTCATCTTCTTGTCTGGGTCTTCTTGCTTGAGCAACTTCAGCAAGTCTGGAATCGAATCCGTGACACATTTATCACATAAACGCGCGCGAGCTTTCAAACTACCCTCCACAACCGCTCGGGACATTGAACAGTCATTGCAAATAATGACACCACATTCCTGAATCACACAAGAGATAATCATACGTAAAATTTACAGCATTAGGAACTGTGCGTACTGACGAAACTTACCCGGCAATGATGTTTTCTTCGATAGAACGTAAACGCATGATGACAGCATCCGCATTCAAGCGCTTCGTGATCTTCAGCCCACGGCTTGATAAGTCCCCATTTTAACAAATCGTTTGCTGATTCTACGAAAGTTGAGTGGACAGGACGAAAGCGAATGTTCAAATGCTCCACTAGCTTATCGCCAAGATATGGCGAAGAGCGGATAGAGGTAGGGTCACATGCATACAGTGACGCACCAACTTGGCCAAGCTGAACTGAATAGGCTGGCAAACGTCCAACCCAATGAGGAAGACCCACCTTCCAGGGTAAATCACGGCCACTGTATCCATTTTTTGATAGTATCTCAACAATTTCTTTCATCCATACGCTCCTATTCACGCAAATGTATCGCCCTCGTGCATCATTATTCTCCAAAGCTGCGATATGCGCAGCAGCACAGTCCCGAACGTCAACCATGCTCCAATTCAAATCAACTAACGCGGAGTATTGGCCCGTAATCAGATCGAAAATGACTTGGTTACCAGGTGCAAGCTTTGATCTTAATAGCATCGGTCCAAACAACATACCCGGATTAATTGTCACTAAATCGATACGACGATCACTCGGTAGTTGATCCACAAGCTGCCATGCTGCTTCCTCTGCTAGCTTTAAACTCAAAAAATGTGGATTTTTTTCCAGTGTGGAAGTAACATTCCAACACGCATCGTTAATGATCGAATGTGGTGTCACGGAATCGGCCATAGCAGCAATGGACGAGGTAAGCACTACACGTTTAACTCGCGCTCGTGCGCAAGCCTGGATAAAATTTGTCATCATAGGGATAATACAGTGCATACGGCTACCGATACTATGTACCCCTGGTTCCTGCAGCTCCGAAAGCGGATCTCGCACCGAACAAGACGATGGCGTTCCTGTGTGAATAACAAAATCACATCCTGTAGAAATGAAACCCAACAGATTAGCAGAAACTCAAGCTGTGACTTATCTAGTAACAATAACGCATAAATACCTTGGACAGCCATATCACAAGCCTCAGGCGTTAAAAGCGACGTTTCAACAACCGTGAAATTCTTTTGAGCATTAGAGAGCTGCAGCAAGCCTGCAATGTTGTCTTTACCATTTTGTACTGTACCACGAACGCGGTAGCCGCGAGTAAGTAGTTCACATACAATCCAGGAAGCCAGAAACCCGTCAACACCAGTAACACATATAGGCTTTTCGCTAACATTAGTGGCAAGCTGTACAATCTTCTTTCGAAATTGCAGCTGCTTCCAGACATTCGGGTACATACACCGACGGTCTATCGGCCGCTTAAGCTTCGGAAACCGATCAATCTTCTTCTTCATGTTGCGTCGTCGAGTCTTCGGCAGCAATGTCGGTGTGTTCACTGCGGTAATTCCATTGGTAGTTCCAGTCATACGACTGTCGACAAAGCCCGTGTAGTTATAGTTGCGAGTGCTATTATGGGGATTAGCCAACAAGTAAGAAGCGGTAGAATCGAATGACGACTTGGTTGATCCAAACGATCGAATGGGACTATTCGGTCCAGTAGCAACTACAGCGGATACGACGTTTGCCATACTAGAGCGAGACTTTTCACGTCGGCTATTCGATTTTTTACCTTTAAGGGTAGAACCAACAGGCTTCTTCTTACGCAACGATTGCGGAGGTGTCGTCGAGCTCTCGCTGTGGTCTGTACCGCCATCATCGTCGTACTGCGCGCCGAAAAGCATGGAAGTACGAGATCTTTAAATTAAAAAGAATACCAGTAGCTAAGTAACCACCACTCACTCACGCCACCGGTTAGCGGCAGTTTCCAGAGTGTTGTCTGGTGCACTGCTGCTTGGCCGTCCTTTGGTCAGGTCTACTCAAAGGTTCTTTCTTCGCTAAACTCAGGTGGGAGAGGCGTTTTAAGTGTGTGAAGTAACGACAAGGTAAAAACAGGGATACCGCTGTTACTTCTAAGATTGCGTGGAAATCTTCCTATAAAATTCTGGTTATGTGGTATTGAAAAAATAATTGAAGCACAGTCTCTGCCGCTGAGCATCACAAAATATCCATGTAAGGAATACCTGAGCAGCTTCACCAATTTCAGAGATATAGTAGCTTGCACATATTAGCCTGTTCGCCAAGACTTAAGGGGTGACTTCTAAGTATGGAGCTCATATCTTCTTTTCCAAAAATAAAGTTAGATTGCTGCACTGATGGCAGAATCCTTTCAAGCCGTTACAAGAGACGTTTAAGCACCGAAGCCGCGGGTGTGAAAGAGACTTAGTTTCGAAAGTGTACAAGTTCAAGATCTTTTATCGTTGCCATGACAGGTACATATGGAGAGCACGTCACCCACGAGGAAATTAGCGAAGAGTATTCTCTTGCCTTTCAATTTGCCACCTTTTTACTTCTGCTCATGATCGCCATCATCCTTTGCAACCATGTGACGTACAAGCTTCATTGGCATTATCTCCCAGAGGCTGCTGCGACCATTGGTGTTGGGATCCTAGCCAGCATCTTTTGCATGCTTATGAACTCGAGTACGATCGCAGTGAAACTCATGGACTTTGATCCCAACTTTTTTTTTGTTGGACTGTTGCCCCCAATCATCTTTAATTCAGGCTATACTATGAAACGCCGTTACTTTTTTGAAAACATCACACCAATTCTCGTTTTTTCGATCGTTGGTACGCTCGTCATGAGCGTAGTCACGGGCATAAGCATTTATACTGTTGGCCGCTTTGGCTGGGTCTTACGACTCTCAATGGCAGAGGCCTTAACCTTTGGCTCTCTTATCTCCGCTACAGACGCCGTCTCAATTCTAGCTGTATTTCAAGAACTTCACGTTGATCCGACACTATTTTACTTGGTATTTGGGGAGAGTTCGCTCAACGATGCGGTAGCCATCTGCCTTTTTGAGACGTTTGCTCGTTTCATTGGGCATTCGTACGAATTTCAGCCCATGTTGTATGCCATATTTGAGTTTGGATTGGTGCTCACAGGCTCTACAATGGTTGGTGTTATTTTCGGCATGATTCCGGCATTGCTTTTCAAATATGGAAACTTGCGCAGTAACTTATTGCACGAAGTAGGCGTCTTTGTCATGTTCGCGTACCTCCCATTTGTTGTGTCTCAAGTCTTAGGAATGTCAGGGGTCGTGTCGGTCATATTCGCTGGTGTCTCGATGAAGCACTATGCATCGCCAAATTTGACCCCGGAAGCTCGCGATGTGTGAGTTTAAAGAAGAAACATGCGTGAATGTCGCTCTAACATCTTATGCTCTCAGATGCGCGGGACTTTTCAACACGCTTTCTCACATGGCTGAGACGTCAGTGTTTTTGAGTATGGTCAACTATGTCGTACTATTGATTCAAAGATGTAGTGTTCTAATTCGATGTATCTTTTGGCAGATCTGGGGCTGTCAGCGTTCGGCTTAACGGAATATTATCGATTTTGGCTTATCTTTTGGATGGCAACTTTCTGCTTGTTTTCTCGCTTCTGTGCTGTATACCCACTTTCCTACCTATTAAATCTGCGCAAAAATGCCGCGAAGATAACACTGAATCAGCAGCATGTGATCTGGTACGGTGGGATGCGCGGTGCTGTAGCTTTTGCATTATCCAAGTCGTTTCCAGGCGAAAAACGTCCTGAAATTGTTGCTACTACACTAATTGTTGTGCTCTTATCAATCATCATCATGGGCGGTGGTACTGTTGCAGTGCTTGATAAGTGTCGCATTCCACGATTGACGGTAAGTGCATCTTCATTCGTGAGAACATTTTTTACTTGCTCACTCCTTGTCGTTCTTCGTATCAAACGGATAGGCCGAGGAAGAGGCAGCGTTAGACAAAACAGTGAAGCCTCATCGGCATATGCGAGCGCTGCAATTTGACAACAAATATCTCATTCCATTGCTTACAAATTTGTGTCAATACGGCGACAATTCTAGTCCGCGCAAAAAAGGCTTTGGTCAGGATAGTAACACCAGCAATGTGGATACCGCTGACGAGCACGAAACGGCTGAAGTTGAGGACGACGAGGTGTTTGATGTCATTCGACGCGAGGTGAATCTGCACTAAGGTTGGCGGAGAGCATAAAGTATGTATCAAAAGTTATTTCTTTTCGATATTTTCGAGTATACGCTATAATTTGAAGATACTTAATCGTCTTGATTGTACACAAACAGATAACCTATAGGAAAACGCAGAATATGAGAATAGGAACATAAATAATGAAACTGTGCAGGTACATACATATATTTCTTCCAATAAGAAAGCACATAATTCTCCAATAAATTGAAATACACTGTACTTAGTTTTAGATGCTTGAAATTTTCTATTTTGCTAGGAGACATTACAACTCCACGCGCTTGATTGCATTACTCTCTTTCTATTGGTGTTGGAACTGCCACTCTCAATAATTTTGACGATCAATTACGTAGCACGGATTCGCTATGCTACAATAGCCGTGAAAAAGACATGTCATCCGAATATTAGGCAAATGGTACAGTACATATTCTGTCCATTCATTAGATGTAACCCAATTTTTCATATGATTGCCCTAAATGATAATTTTGAGAAAATATCGAGGCCGTCGTGGAAAAATTGCTGTTGCACACTAAGCTTCAGTAGTATACGCAATTGTTAGATTATTGCGATACCTTTCATGTCTCGTTTCCTTTGTCGTTGTTTATCGTCTCTGCTTTGCTGAGAATGCACCAGATTAGGATTGGACAACACAATTAGTGATATTTGGATGCCCGTTTTTTTGTCATATAAGACAGGTCTTGAATCTTTTAAAATTCATTCATTCTTTTTGAGATTCGATTGTTCTATTGTAATTGTAACGCAATATTGATCGCTTTTTAGCGAATGTGAAAATCAAATTTGGCAGACCAGACTTCGTGATTGCGTCGTATTGTGCCACTTTCAAGGTAATTAATTATACACACAAAAACAATCCGAGGTCAAAAATATTAGAGATGTAATTGATGCAGTTGTCATTCATTGGTCTAAACAAAACTTAAACTGTTCTCATTGGCCATAAATTAATTAACAGGGGTAGGTAGTATTAGACCACTTTATTAGTATCCCTTCATCCAGTGCCAATAAGTCGCACTATCAACTGCACAAGGAAGCTCGGCATATAGGACTTTTTGCCGAATGGAATCGGTGATCGAGGAGGTATTTGAAGTACAGATGCTGCAGCCTTTTCATGGATGGGTGCTTGAACGCTTTTGCGATCGTAGCGGTAATAAGTACCACGAACTCACTCGCGCGGCACGGAGCGTTACAGACAGAGACGACCGCCTTAATGGCATTCAGGAAGCACCTGAGCTTGAAGTTGGTGTCTTACGCTCTTTTGACTGGATGTGGAGTCATGCTTGGATGCCTGATAGTGATTATACGCAGTGCGACGAAGAAGGTTGGACTTATGGATCATCTATTGAGCGCATCAATTGTCGCTTGGCCAAGGGTACTAGCAAGGTGAAACGCGGTTATTACCATTTCTTAAGACGACGACGATGGATTCGTACTCGTGTGCGGACACCTGTATCTACTTTACAAGGAACAGAGTTCGACTTAGAGCAGGCGGAATGCTCTGCAGCGCTATCGTCAATGTGTGAAGGTAAAGCGTCCGGGTCTCAAGGCTCAAATCGATTCTATCGCGTCTCGCACGACTCTTTAAAATCATATTTTCAGCTTAAATCAAAGATTAGACCATCAAAATACATACGCGTAGATTTTACCAACGACGACATACAAAAGGAGGGATGGTTAGGTGTCAGAGGGACATTATCGCGAACTTGGAAGCTAAGGTATTGTTTATTGCGCTGGGATTCAAGCAGTCTCGTGTGTGTAAAAGACCGAGTTTCGATGATATTAGCAACTGAAGAATTAATTGACAGGCATACGACGCTATTAGTAGAGGAGCCGCTTAAACCACGTCAATTCCAATTTTCAGTTTGTAATGGAGACCGTACTCTACGATTAAATGCAGTGGATGGCACATCACGAGCTTCATGGATCTCAGCTCTGAGTGAACTCATTGTACGAAGTCGTGCATCCTTTTTTGCAGCTGATGATGCAGAAAGTATGTCGAGTACGAGAAGTCGTAGTATTCGACGAATGCGCTCATCAACCGAGGAAAGATGTTCGATTGCTAGCACTTCAACGCAAAACGATATAAATGTGGAAAGAAGTGAAGTCAGACAGCCACAAAATCGTGGCGCATGGAGACCTTACAAATTTATATCATCAACCATGCAATCAAAGCGCCAAACGGATGCAGTATGCCGCAGCGAGTACGTAAAGCAGTTTTCAGAGATTTTTGATGTGAAAATTGAACTGGCTAGCTCGTACATTTCAATGAACATCGCGATTTTAGAAGAGAATCTTAGCACTGCGCAAGATTTCTTACCATCAAATGTGGCATCCGTGCCAAAGAAAGAAATCCAGAAACTTCGGATGGAAGTTACTGCACTGATCGAGGCATTTCGAGCTAGAGCAAAAGTGCAGCTCGCTTCAAATCGCACTAGCGTCATTGGCTGTAACATGCTACAAAAGGAGCTGTATTTATTGGTGTGCCGACTACGCGAAAAGGTCATTTTGCTGGCCCCATCTCAAGAGCACGCTACAATAAAGAAAGTTATGTTAGAGTCTCCTACGAAGCGACGTATACCCGTGGACTGGTATACAAATTGCGCATCTTTAGAGAAGGGGCGACAGCTGTCTGGTCTTGCTGATGACAGCATTCCGTCAACAAGCACATCAAACTCGACAATGGAAAAATTGGAATTGTCGTACACATCAGGGTCTTCTCTTGAACTGAAACTGCAGAATGCGACAATTCTGGCGCGGCATGACAGGCGAAGTTTATCCGTTCCTGAATCTAATCAATCCATCAGTACTCCTGTCAATAGCCACAGTTTACACGCATCTGAAGCTCTCAGGATAAAGCCATACACCAAGATGCCGGAAGAATTGCTCGAGGGTCATTTTGAGCTACCGGATGGCGTAAATGGGTACGTTGTGAAAGTTCATGACAAGGATATTGGCTCATTGATTGGCTATACTCTTTGCTCAACGACTTACGTCAATCAGCTTGAAGCCCATTTCGATCATAAGGTGAATATCATTGAAGAACTGAATGCTTCGGATAGTTTGGGAATTAGTGAGGTTTCCGCTCCGTCTCCACCGACTGGTGCAGAAGCTCAAGCAACCTTTGTTGCTTCAGCAGGTGACATGAGAGAACGACCCAGTGTCAAACGCTCAGTGACTGTGGTTGACAAAAAGCAAGTGATTTATCTAAACAAATTGCGCTCAGCAGACTTGCAACATACTTCTATGAAATTTTCTTACGCAGTTGGCACTACGAATCACGAGTTTCAGTGTGTGGCATACTTTGCGGCACAATTCCATGCGCTGCGCGCGCTCACAGTTCCGGGAAACGTCGAATTTCTGAATTCCATCATAGAGAGCAAGAGGTGGGATACCACTGGAGGCAAGTCCGGTGCATTCTTTTCGATGGTAAGTCACATAATGTATCTTCAAGTGGTTGAAGATAATCATTTGACTCGTGATTTTGAAAACAGACACACGATAAGCGCTACGTGATGAAGGGCATCTCAGTGACTGAGTTCAACATGTTTGTTCATATGGCTCCGAAATACTTTAATTTCATTTCGCGTGTCGTAGAGGTTCCGACTCCGACGGTAATTACCAAAATTGTTGGTCTTTTCAAACTTAGTCACAGTCGGCGTTTGTCAAAGCACACAGAGTACGTGGTAATCATGGAGAACTTTTCGTATGGCTTTCCTCCTGGACAAATGTACGACCTAAAGGGTATTCTTCGTCGAAGGTATTACACCACCAGCAACGAAGTCGAAGACCGTCATGAATCTTACAATAGCGTCTCAAATGTTCAAGTGTCCATGAATCTGCCAGTGCTGCTGGATGGCAACTTTTCCGAGCGCATGCCTGTGCCGGTTGCGCAACCGGATTTAAGCATCATCGAGTCTGCTATTCAAAACGATACCGGATTTTTGTATCGTGCAGGAGTAATCGACTACTCTCTGGTGAGTGTGACTCGTTTTAAGGTTATTGTCGAATATCAATGCTTAATGTGAATATGCTGCTTTGGATATTGTAGCTACTACGTTTTGATGAAGAAAAACGACAAGTTATTGTAGGACTGATTGACTACTTGCACCAATTTGATTTTTTGAAAAAAATGGAATCGACGTCGAAAGCGAGTTTGACTTTTCGCAATCCGACAGTGATTAGTCCAACTTCGTACCGCCGACGATTTATAAATGCCATGAATCGCTATTTTGTCGGCATTGAGAAAGAATTGGAAATTCGAATGCGAAAGCGGTGCAAGATTAAAGCAAAGCGAAGTGAGACTTTTTATCGCTCACCGGACTCCAGTGCAATATTAGCTGGGGACAATGCGCAGGTCGACCCGAATATTTGTTCGGGTGTCTCGCCTCAGCTTTCTAATAATCTGTCATTTAGTAATGAATCTCCATTACTTCCTGATCACTTGCCGTCGAAGTCGGAGTATAGTATACCAAAACTGGATATCGAGTGGTCGGATTCAAAGCCGCGTGGATACTCAATGTCGCACTTGCTGGAGCACGAAATTCATTGTGAGCGTGCAACGCACAGCGAGGGTGAGAGTATCAGCTCTATAAGCAGCTCGTTGAATGAATCCACCAAGAGTTACCCAGCAACTCCACTTCACGATCACGATGTGATTTTTGAAGGTCATTGTTCCTGACAATACGACGCCCATTTCGGGCGGACATGAAATAGTTATTAAAGGAGGAAAGATTTTGCTATCTATGACGTTTGGTACGAATATGCACGACAGATTTAATGTAGAATATTGCTTAGAGTATTTGAGGGCGGAAGACAAATTATTCGAAATAGAACTCATTCGGCCAAATGTTAGGAAAAGATATAATAATTTCAATTATAACAATACGATCGATGATAATCTATTTTAAAGTGACCTTGCCAAACTTTGTGCATTTGTGACAAGTATGCAGACTGCACGGCTTTTTCGAGAATAAAGCAACAGGGTACGGATCTTACAGTGTTGTCTTCTGAAAACATCACGACAGGTTGGGTTGCTAAGAATGTTAACGTCTTGGTCTTTGTGCTGCCGTGGGAAGTCCTGGTATATTCAGGACCTTCGTCCAATCACGCACGGAGACAGCTAGCAGGGATATTGTGGATGCCAAATTCGGATACGAAATTTATGCGTCTGGTAATGGAGCGCTAGTAGAAGTGGTGAAAATTGCATTGAGTATTCAAGTGGAGAGACTTGACAGCGTGAGACACTGTCTAAGTCTAGATATAGGGTCTTGTTCTAAGCATAGTTAGTGTACCTGGAACACTACCATGAGCCGTGGGTTGACTGGTAGTCGAATAAGCTAGGTGCCTCCTTTCTGTAAGATTGGCTTATCAGGTACTGTCCTCCGCCAAGAAAAAGAAAGGTGCCCCGAGCACAGATCGAAGGACAAAATTCGCAGTATGTCAGGATCTGGGCAAAGGGCGAATGTATGTTGTCATCTTCAGAGTTTGCTTTTGTTGATACGAGAAAGGACGACTGTATTTTGAGGAGATCAGAGTGTACCTCTGGCGCTAAGAACAGTAATGAGCCCTTATTTGCCAAAGCTGAGGGAGAGCGGGAACCACTGAAATCCGAAAATGTGCGTGCCAGAGCCGGTGAACCTCAATAGCAGCTACTTTTCGCGAGTAGAAAAACCACGCTCTTAAAATTAGAAGATAGCTTATCCTTGTCATAACTTGATGGTAAACATACGTAAATCTACTATGCTACGATTTCCATGCGGAGCAGTGAAGTTTCACGGGTATAGGGTAGTCCTCGGGGTTGTTGCATAAGGTCGTATAGAACTGAAGAATTGTCTCGGGAATATGTATAAGTAGTTTTAAGACAGCAATTACCGAAATGGTACGGCTGGTGCCGGGTGAACCTGTTGTTGACGACACTTCCAGCGCACAAAGCGCAACGATGCAACGAGTGGAGCAGCTATCGCCAAGAATTCTACGATCCCTCCTTTCTTAAGTTGAAGGCATATCTCTATGCATGACAAGAGATTCACCACACGTGTTAACCCCAGCTAGAAAGGTGCAACATAAATTTAACTTGGTCCCCGGAACAAATATTGCGTCACACACCAATGACCTATACCTGTAAAAAAGGTGACGTCATTAACAAATTCTTTTGTGTGAAGCTTGAAGAAGCTTTGGCGAAGGCGATTTAATCTTTGATTTGAAGTCATCATTTTGTGTCAGAGATATAATTAGGAGGGGCAAAATGTGTAAGCAGAAAAACGAAATGTGGCCAGCAATCCGATGTAAGTATTGATTACCAAAACAGACATGCAGCAGAACAGCATGGTCGGTTGCGTCGTGTATTAATTTCAGTAAGTTAATTGCTAAAATTAGCTACTCATGAAGACCTCACCGCGATAATTACTCCTAACAAAGTGCTCTGGTGTGACTGGTTATGCCCCAGCGACTGTGGAACGCACCAGCGATGCTTAACTTTCAGGCGGCATATATAACGGGACAGCTGGTTACACGTACTGTTGTAGTGAGGTAATTATACCGTGAGGCTTGGTCTTCTTGTGCAGCTGTCGTACGCGCCCCATTAACCACAAACTTGTGTAAATCTCTTCATCAAATTAAGACTGAATGTATTATACAGGTTTCATCCTAATCCTAATCTTAATCTAAATAATACGTAATTGTAACCACCTAATCATTAGCGTATTGCACACTAATTTAGTCAGTAGCTATGTGTGTAGCACACAAATTGTGAAAGGACCTACAACCCCATTACATTGCTTCTTTGGATATACCCACAGAGTTGGCTTGACAATACATACGTCCAAATTCATCAAAAAATGAAAAACGCGGATACGGACATTTGATACAAATAATGTTGATCAGGTGTCGAAAGCGTAAACAATTTGTTTTCTGGCAAAGATTAGAGTGGCTTTAACGACATTTGTCCTGAAATACGAGATTAATAAGCATGGTCTGCTGTCAGATCATGTGAGATTAAGGCCATCAGCCCGAATTTCTCAACAAAACCATCAAGAACGGCTTGGCCTGGCTATCTACTGCCACAGGTACAGTAGGAATAACTTTGCGTAAGCATATCTCTCATCGATTATTCTAAGAAACATGTCAAGCGAAGCTGGCGTCGATACGGCACTCAAGACTACAATTTAATTTCCATATGCAACTTGGTTTTGACTCTTCCGAAATTAGATCAGCCATTGAATGAGACGTTGGTTCTTGTCATCAGCTGCGCACCATTCCAAACATACACGGCAATAGACATGTCCGCATTATCGGTTTGGACTTCGCCAGGTTTATATCGGTCAAGTAAATTATTCAATAGATCTATACAGGTCTTACAAACGTTGCAGACATCGATATCGTCACCACATCCCTCACAGAGAAATACAAGAATGAAATTTAAGCCGCGTGTTTCTTCAAGGCAGTATCAATCAGATCAGCTTAAAGCAGTGGATGGGTGTTATATGTGTCGTCCAAACATATTTGAAATATGTATCACGATTGGAGAACGATTCGAAAGCGTACGCAGTACGGTTGAAGTACAACACGTGTCGAAATGTTGAGATTCTGGATGTCACCATATCCGTACTTTCATTGGGGTTTGCATTGTTATATCCTGTCCCAAGGCATGCTGTATTACAGCACGGGCCATCCGACACGCTGTAGCTAAGAATATGGAGCTCAAGCAAGCAATACCTTACGTGGCACATAATACTTCTAGATATCCTCAGGGAGAAAGACCTTCGGATCGATGATAGCGATTTACTGGTGAGCTAATATGCAAAATGGGAGAGCATTTATGTAAACATTCATGAAACAGACTTAAGATCTTGCCGAAAGAGCCGATGGCTTTGACCAATCCTCAATTTCTGCATAATACTATCAATACATTACCATGAAATTTTTGTTCTTTCCTAGATGCACTCAAAACACCGCTATTGCGGTCTTTCTTGTGGCTTGAGTAAAATTTCTCATCTTACAGCTGGCAGTGATAGCGCAAACAGAAGATGCAGCCAAGCTAATTTGAGACAAAGTTTCTCGCCAAAATGACCTTTCAATGGTCATTCTTTTGGATTGAGTACTGGCTCTTCAGCAACGGTTTGTCGGTCTTTGTTCGGGATGCTTAACCGCAAATTGGGCAGCTTTATTGACAATCATCCCAGGCCATGTTCAGATAGAACGCGCATATCACGCTTCGAAGTCTTTACGCGTGCGGACCGCGATGCTGTTACGAAATGATCACATTCACTCTCTTTTCTAATCAAGTATATACACACATCCGCAGGCTTAACCCATTTGCTAAATATGTTGCGTAACCCGTGGCTATTCATCGCTGCCACGGCATTGCTTTGGCATTGGTGAGGAAAAAAACTGTCGGTGCGATTTCACATGCTGAGGACACCGTCCTCATCTCGTAGCAAAGTGATAATGTTAATCTTTAACGAGACTTAGTTGCATACTCCGAGTTCTAAGCATAATGCCTAAGTACCAAGATATGGAGAGTAGAATGCAGGTGCAGATTTAAATATTTGAACGCAGTCAGCTTACCAGTGCATGCAAAGTCTACATTCTATAAAGTTGAGTTGCATTCTCGCTACATCAGACCATTTCGCATCGTAGCAAAACTAAGATAATTACATTCATAATACTTCAGAATATGTGCAGAATTATTCTGAGCTCACCGCGGACTTGTTTAATCCACACCAAGTTTTTGCCCCCACGATGGGTTCAGCACGATAATAATTCATTATTGTAACGGGGTAACACGTATCCTGATATGGGAGGGTGGCACACGTAAGATGGTCCAAACAAAGGTGTGGATTACACAAGCTGGTGAAATCACACAATAGTGTAGCTGCACCGTAATAAAAAGCCACTACGTGGCAGAACTGCCAGTAGTTGTGCATATAAATAAGGATTTTCTATTGTATTAGGAAAACCTATATATTTAGATACAGGCGGCTTTGCCACCAATTAAAATTTGAATACAGTTTCGATTTTGAAAGGTATAGTGTACTTGCCTTGGGTCAAGGTTTTGGTTACTCATGGAGGTAGCGGATCGCAATCCGCTACACTCATACTGGAACGTAAGGTCGGTGACCTTGGTAAACTTCCCTATACGTAAAGAGCTACGGCAACCCCGTTGCACTTGGTAGCACTTGTAGTCAATCTACGCCTGAGTCGTTACGACCGATCCTTTGTTCTGGTGCAATGCGAATGCCATAACCATCTCGTCCTCTCTCACCCAGGGCAAGGTATTCTCTACATCCTTACCCTCAAAGGTGTCAAAGTTCACCACGAGCGACCTAGGGCGGGAGGAGTCATCCGTTGTCGACGGTGGCACCATAGACGTAGTCGCCGCGGACATCTTTGGCTCTAGGTGGTCTAAAAGAACATTTACACAGCTCGAAAACGCCTCTAGGCGCGCGTTAATCGCCTCGAGGCCTATCGAAACAAGGTGTAACACGCCATCAGTGCCCAGCAGGGACATCAGCTTATTAGGCCTGTCCATCATGCCTTGGGGCAAAGAGAAGAATTGTTCCAACCTCAAAGAGGATCAGTCGTAACGACTCATGTGTAGATTGACTACGAGTGCTACCAAGTGCAGTGGGGCTGCCCCAGCTGCTAAGATAAGGCCACCTACCTTACGTTCTTTGCACGGACCAGTACGACCCGTTTTTAGTACGGGTGCAGCGGAATATCAATCCGTTGCCTCCAAGAGTAACAATACGTGAGGAATCGTGGTGTTTGTTTGGCTAAATGTTACCTAGCACGACCATAAAAATAATGAGTTTTGATCTAAAAAAAGTTGTTGAAAGTGCTCGACCGTGGAGATGGCCATGTTACAAGTAAGACGCTTTTGTAGGTAGCAACCTATACACTCGCTTGATTAATGCTTGCCGATGCTATGTTTTCTGCCTCAGCAAGTGATAATAGCACTGAATTTCGACGCCGCTCTTGCGAAGCACTAACTAATAGACCAGATGCAGATCTTCAAGTATGCTTATCACAACTCCCAATTCGCGTCATACTTAGCACTTAACATGTTGTTATTGTTACTGGACTTCTTGTAATCAATTTTTGATAGGAATGCTGTGCAAACGCAATCCAGAGGTATTGTAGGTAACCAAATAAAGCGTGACCGATCATCGCACAGCAAACCAGCGATCAATTCACGCTTTTGGTACATTCCCGAGCTCGTTAGGAGACAAACTTTGGTCGGCAATTAGCAAAGTACTTGACGTGAATTAACCATTACATCATCAACATAAGCATGCTATGATCCACTAGTATTTTCGAGCTAAAGGTTTATTAAAAATTCATTGTCGCATTGTTTTCACTCACCGTCAAAAGCTTTTTACTCGCTTGATCACTGCGGATACATAACTAGGGTCGCTTTACCATGTTCGAGCAATAAGGGCACAACAGTAGCAGTACTAGCATCGATCTATTTGTTTAATACAGAAGCATGCAATATCTCCATTTACTTCCCTCGGAAGGCATGAACAGCAATACGTACACTGTCCACCTCGTAGCTTGATATGTTGGCCATTGACCGCTCGACATAATCATCAATTTGGCCGGAAAATATAAGTTGATTCTACTTTCAGCAGCTATAAAGCTTCTAACTGTCGCAAAAATATTCAGCCGATCGCAGCCTTTGTCTCCACACTCGTAAGCTTGTACCCAGCGTTTGATTCCTACCAACTCTTCTTTCCTAGCACCTCCACATCAGTATGCCGTGTTAAAGTTTTTAAGAATAATTTAGTACAACACCACTAGGCTGTTCCAGTGATTTATTTATATCTTTCTATCTCGCGCATTTGCAGCGTTAACCCGTCACGTCTAAATGCTGCGTCATACTCAAGCAATATATATCCCAAAGAAGAGACCACCATTTTGCCATAATCCACATTGGCGCCCGCAGTGCTAAGCTTACGGCAAAAAGCTTGCCAAGCATGAGCTTGTGGCCTGTGAGGCTTGCGCCGTTCTTTATCGCGAGCTCATGGAAGCTACACGCGGTTGTCGAAATTTTATTAGTAAACGATTGTCAGTATTTCCAATATTGAGCATTTCTGACAATACAGCTACGCTTGATTTTCTGGTATGTACATTTTATAATCCTTGCAAATCGTTCTTCGTAAACCTTCTGTTGATATTATCTGAGGACAAGCAGCTGACAGCTCTCGTAACAAGGAACATACTACGGTTATATGATTGATTTGAAATCCGATGAGTGACCTTCACATCCGGTTTATGCCACAGAACGGCGAGCAAAATACTTTAGAGTTTGCCTTAGTTCATGAGAATATCTTCAGCTCTACCTTCAAAATCAGGCAGGACAGCTGTCTGAGCCATTCAGACAACGCGCGCTGGAAATCACTGGTCATTACGATAGACGAGAAATTCGAGATACCTGCGTTATCCGCTACTAAGTTCTTAAACAACAAGGGTAACATCGTTCAACGAGCTAATCAGATTTCAGTTTCCACGCTCTATACCACCCCCAGTTTTCACAATTAGATGGTGTCGCCTACATCACGTTGAATGCATTTTGTGGATTCATCTTGGAATTTATTACTTATCCAATATTTTTATAGTACAGATTTAAAACGGCGTTAGTCTACCTATGTGGTAAAGTGTATTCAATTATAGAGCCAGACTCAGTTGTCATCTCTTCTATTTATTGATAACAATTTAGATTGTATTTTAGATTTGACTGTTGCATATCTGCCTCCAAGAAAATCATCTTAAAATTAGCACTCTTGTAGTAAGCTTGAAAAAAAAACGAACTTCATGTCTCGTTCGGTATCAATAAAGTCAGCAGGTGTAAATCAGAAAGAAGATCCTGAACGACCACAGTGCCTTATAAGTAAAACTCGGACAGCTTCACATACCAGCCGATGAACCGGTTTTAGCTGTCACGAGAAAATTTCCTTGAACGAGAATTCGCGGATATGGTATCAAAACATCACAGACGAAGTTGCGACTTATGCTCAAGGACTGTGATATATTTAAAGATATCAATGAGTGGAATGCGCGGTTTGTAGTATATTCATATGCTGAGTGGAGATTTATAAATCTTGACGCTTACGCCTAATGCAGGTGTGAAATTTTTGTAATCCAGACGATTGTGGCAGTAAGTCAAGCGAGTCTTTCCACTGATTACGAAAATAATTTTCGGTATCATTTACAATGTAGCGAAGAGTTCAACCACTCGCTTTATTTACTCTGTCGTGTCGTACTGAGTGTTTATCAACTCCTTTTTGATGTTAAGAAACAAGTTGGTCACGTTCGATCCAACTTATCTTTCCAGATTGTCATCACGTAGTTAATCAGGAAAATATGCTGCAGCAAGTCAGCGCAACATTTTTTGCTTTTTCAGATTGCACTTACCAAATGGCATCATCGTGCCTATGCACTATATATTCATCATATTAGTATACATCTACATCATGTATTTTAGTAAAAAAAAAAGGGCCCAACCCTAAACGTGTGGGTCGATCACTCTTTTCATGGTCGGTATCCAGTGTAATATGCCCAAATGTCGCCTATTCTGTTCGGGATTCCACCAGATGGAAGGATAGAAGCCATCTCGTCTGCTTCTGCTTTTTCTCGCGTCATTGATGACGTACACCAAGATTCAAGCGTCACAAAAGAGATGGAGGATGGAGCCTCCTTCATTATACTTTTCACTTTAAAAAGGTTTGATGATCGAAAGTCTCAACTGACATGAACAAGTCAAAGATGATTGGTGTTGAGGTGCAGTACAATGAGGCGTCAAAACAACAGCTTCCACTCCAACAGGATCAATTCAGGAGCTTAAATATAACGCGAGATGAAGTGAGCGAATACGTTAAAACAGCAAAGTCGATACTGGATGAAGCTTTATCAAAAGCACGCGAGGACCAGTTAATGGGCAACACGAACTATCGAACGTGGAAGCAGCTTGGGTCACACGCCGGGTTTAAGCGATTTCTTAATAATGACAAAGACTTACACTACCGTTTACATGGAATAGTGGGGGCCTCACTAAACGATCTCATGGGGATCATGTACGCAGATTCGACGGCGCAAGTGATCGAGCGTCGCCAGATTCTTTACAAAGACAGTCTGGACGCAAAAACGCTGTGTGTACTGAAGGAGCGTAGCGCAGAGAATATGCATGAACATATTTCAATCAGGTGGGAGGCAATCAACTTGAGCAACAACAGTCCCAATTATCGTCGGGATATGTGCTTTCTTGAATACACAGGCGTCGTCACCGACATCGATGGCGTCTCTGTAGGGTTTTTCATCAAGCAGGCTATTGATCGCAGCGAGTGTGGGTCGCTTGAGGAATCCCACGGACTGTCACGTCTTCAACTTACAGAAATCTTGCTGTTTCGGCCAACTCTGGAGGCTGGTCACACCGAAATCGTCATGGACGGTGTCGTACAGCAACCCAAAAACCTCCCAAGCTGGCTCGTGAATTCGTTTCTCAATGTTGTCGCCGCAAATCTCAGCAATCTACCAATAATAGTACAAGAAAAACTCCTGGCTCGATTGCCCATGATCAGCAGCTGGCAGTATGTGCCACTCTCGTGTCGCAAGAATTGCCACGTATGCACAAGCAAATTTCGACTGCTTTCGAAAAAGTTTAATTGCCATAGTTGTGGTCAAGTGAGTTGTAAGTCGTGCATTGTCACCCGTACAGTCAATCAGACAAACAAGTTTTGCACCAAATGTATCCTTATGGTCTCGACCCATGGTGAATCAATCGATCGTCACTTTGAACAAGGCTCACTATCCTCGTCTTCAGATCGTAGTCGTCAACATCGAAAATTAAAAAGTCCAATATCATCGAAGTCCACGTACAAAAACAATCAAAGTCCAAAAGTACCTGAGATGCGTGTCGATATAAAACTTCTGACAGAAGTCAAGACAAGTAGCAATAATTGCAGTATGTCGAGTACAGCAAGTGAGACGAGCTTTGACGACTCAATTTCGTACTCTATGGACCGTCGTGACAGCGAAACCCTACGGTATAATCCGTTAGGTGAAGAAATGGTAGTGGAAACCTTGGATACAACAAAGATGACTCGCTGTGCTCCTCGTACCATTTCATCTTCAATACCTAGTGTCGAAACTGTCAAGGATGCGATCGCGCATCAACAATACATATTAAAAGAAATGCTGTTGCAAGCTAAAGCTTATCAACAGCAAAAGACGCGAATGTAACTAGTGTTGTAAACTTAGCTTGAATGAATAAGGGGTAAGCTAAATTGCCACCTGCTGTCTTGATCGAAGAGACTATAAGTATTACATTAGAACTATTTTATTATAAACTCCATTGGCAGCAAGGATAAAAGACAAATAAAATGTATTTTGTGTGTGCTGACCATTGGCGAGGCTCGAGTTTATCCTTTTTTTCAACATTTACAGGGTCGGCGTAGTGTTACATCAATGCGTCAATTGGGCTATCAAATACTACTTGCGACGTTTGAGCCAACGAAAGACTTAGGTGACAATCAGCCCTCGAAATTTTTACAGTGCACCACTCTAGGGCATAAATCCTTTTGTGAACTCCTTTCAAAAGGAGCAAGTTTCCAATTCAAGGCCTTTTCGGTAGACAGTTGCGAAGTCGCGACGGGGAATAATTGGCGGTGCTTTTGTACGGCCTAAACCTACTTCGACAGCTTTGTATTTCACGTTGTTTGTAGACTTGTTGGCATCGTGACGATGACAAATTTGGTCACTGCTCGTTTAACGACCTAGGCTAAGTTACTGACATACGCAAAACAAAACGATTGCATGTCCAGGCATGTGATAGCGATTTATCAAAGCGAGGCAAATGTAGAAGTTAAAATTTGACACGACGGATGCAAAACTACTTGAATCGAGAAAGCATGGTGTAGTTGAAAACGTTTGCTCACCACCTTACGAATCCATGCGAAGTTATTGAAGCAGCACAACAAATAAAATGCATTTTCAGTAATAATGATTTTTTTTTAGCTACACGAGCGGACTCGAGCGGTCTCAGTGTTCACACCTACTTGTCATCGTAGTCAAAGATATACCAAAATACTATTCTCAGCATCCCCATTATCCCATAGGTATACCATAAGCTAACGTAAGTGAAGATATTCCGATCATTAATTTTTGATCACGCTGCATCGGATACTGATTGCATTAGTCTCTTGGCGTCAACTATCTTCATTTTTTACGTTCAATTATGTCTCCCAACCAACTTGCGTGTTTGCACTAAGATCTTTATTTGTAAGGATACCTGCGCAACTCTATAAACACAAAATATATGCGTAACTTACGTCATTTAGCGAACATTTCACTCTTCTATGATGTGACGTACATTACTCTGATGTATGCCCACATTACACTGCTGTATCGAAGCATGTAGAGTAACAATACTTCGAGAAGGAAATGCAGCGGAGCTGCCGTAGCTCTTTTGCTTAGAGGAAGCTTAATCAAGGTCAATGACCTTCGTTCTATACTTAGAACCAGTACGAGTGTAGCGGATCGCAATCCACTTACTCCAAGAGCAACTACAACCTTAAACAAAGGCTAATTAACTCTTTTGTTAAAAATGTAAGCTGTTTTTCTTGGTTTTATTTGCGGCAAAGCCGCCGGTACCTAACTATATAAGTTTTTCTATGTTTATAGTAGAACCTAAATAACTACTGGCTGTTCCACCCACGTACTCACTTTTTTTTAACTACTGACTGTTCCAGCCACGTACTGACTTTTTTTAAGTGGAGCCAGGTCGCACCATCTGGTATGGCCCACACTTTTCCTACCAGTGGCACGTGAAACACCGTCACAGGGAATGTCCGATGGACAGGTCATCATGCCACGCGTTATGAAGGCTTCACTATCTTAGATACTAACTGCTTCAACTAAATTTACTACACCTTTTAAACTTAGCAAATGTTACTCACCCTTGAGTTTCAGCGGTGAGCCCACACTCAAAGTTTTTTATGTGTAAGCTACACGGCAATCCCGTCGCGCTTGTTATCAATTCAACAACTAAGCTAACTCAGACTGTAAAATGATTTTTGAAATTTTCGCATATCTGTGTCGAGGCAACAAGATAGTAATTAAGCTTCTCTTTTTGCATGGCGTCGAAGAGGTAGTGCAATTGGCAGTCCAAGGCCCGGAAGCAGATTCCACTTGTTCGTTTGAAGCGCACAATTTCGATACGCAAGGCGTGGGTATGAAGTGAGATGGGAGCTCTATGAGCACGGCAAACATGATGAACTTCTACCCGATGTCGGATAGGGATATTTTCCAGAGCAACATGGTTGGCTGTAGAAAGCACAGTGCTTTCGACTTGGTCGATGGGTATTACCATTTGCTCATGATAGCGAGTGATATACCGCTGACAGCGGTGAGTACTCCGAGCGGCATGCTCTGGGAAGGCTGATGATGCTTCAACGGCTGCCAAATGCACCAGCAACATTTAATCGTCTTGTGACGTAGTTGTTCAGGCCCCACCGGGCGTATGCACAGACATACTTCGACGACATCTTCGTCCATAGTCGTGCGGAGCACAAGAGACAAATGAAGAAAACGTCAGAGACTGCCTCCTTCATGCATCCAATACTGGCGTTGCCGAAATTTGATCTTTTTTTC